ACGACGACCACTACACAAGCACCAACTGCGACCACCACTACCACGGAGGCGCCAAGCATTACGACTACAGAGGCGCCAACTACGAGGACCACCCGCGCACCGCCACTTCTTCGCAAAATTGACGGCAGTCCCAGCAGCCCTGCGTGGGTTTATGCCCCGCTGGTGCTCGCGGTGTCCGTGCTGGCTTACAGCAGTCTGTGCTGAGGGGAAGTGTGGGCTGTGAGTGCCGGCACACAACTGCAGTGATTGGTGCTCCTCTTTATTAATCCGAAATACCATGTAATATAAAATGGTGATTGTTTTTTGCTTTTTTTGCTTCTGCTGCCGTGCTGTGTGCTCTGCGTTGTTCCCACATCCGTCACGTTGGACGCATCAGACACACTCATATGCATGCGCACTTGGGCCTTGTGTTTTTTTTTAATCTTCTTTTTTCATTTATTGTTTAACTCTTGTTTTGCGGGACTGTGTGCGTGTTTTGGTTTGGTACTGATTCCATCTGCGTGATGTTTTGTGCGCTGCTGCTGCTGCTGCCGTTTGTTTTTGTGCGGTGGCTGTGTGTGGTGTAGCGGCCTTGTTTCTTTTTGCTCTCCCATGCTCTTGCAGGGCGGCTCCACAGTGTTAGGTGGCTCTACTGGATGTGATGATTTAGCATATTCGTTGCGTTCTACTGCTGCTTATGATGATATGCTGCTTTTATTGTTTTTGTGCGACGGAGTGTTTGGTGCCGTTGGCGGCCCCGGGGGGAAGGAGAGGACGAAGAAATCAATGAGCGAACAACAGGCTTTCTTATCACCTGCGGCGTGGTTTTTGGTGTGTTTTTCTCTTTAAGCTGCGTGCGAGTGGAATAAAATAAAATTAGTGACTGCGCGACGTGGCGGTCTCTTTGCCGCGCGGCACCACCGGCGTAGGGCTTGGGGCCGGGTTCGGCGCACGGGAGGACAAACGCCTTGGATTTCTGCTACCGCGCAAGCTGCAGCCCTTTGGCGGTGAGAGCAGCATTGTGCCGAAGTACGACGAGAATGGCATGCCAATTGAGGCGGGACTTACGAAAGAGCAGCTGCTGAAGAAGCGCCTGGCGTACATGAAGAGCTTTGGGGGGACCACGATGAGTCACCGGGAGCACTTTCTTCTGGTTGACCTGGATTTTGAGAGGGACGCCATGATCTTTGGCAACACACGCGAAGAGTTTGAGAAGAATGTTACGAGCTTGAAGGAAGTCATTAGCAAATACACCAGGTGGGAGCGCACCGACAATTTCTACTACTACGGCATTATTGCGCTGAAGGCTCTCACGGCATGGGTGCTGATGGAGTGCGTGCAGCAGCACTACGAACTGAAACTGCTTGCGGGGCACTACGAAGACTTTGTGGAGGCAATGGAGGAGACAGTGAGCGGACTTGAGGAGAACCTCCAGCGCGACATGCGGAGGGCGCGGGAGGAGCTGCAGTCCCACCGGCCCGATTTTCGACCGCTCGTGGAGGCCGTTCGACGTGAGAAGCGTCGGCTGCTTGATGCCAAGGCAAGGCGGATGGCTGGGCCAGATGTGTCTACTGTGAGCAACAGGAACTGCAATGGCAAGAGCCATTTGCCCGGCGAAGATGTTCCTGCCGTTGGGATTGAGGAGGCCCTGGGAGCGCACGACGCAGAGGGAAAACAGGGACGGCAGCCACCCCTACTGGCACAAGAGCAGCTGCAGACGCAGCAGCGCCCGGCAGTGGTGCCCCTGACAGCAAACAGCGGAGTGAAGGACCAACATCCGATGGACACCACGCACGAAGAGCTGTATTTGACGACACTGCGGGAACAGGAGGCACAACACGAGATGCGGCGCCTGCAGGAGGCTGCAGCGAGCAGCAGAGCATCGTACAGCGTCTTTGGCACTCTTTGGAGGAAGTTGGGCGGGACTGGGGTTGACAGTGTTCTCGTGACGCCTCTACAGCAAGAGGACTTTGCTCGTCTTTCTTACGCTGCAAGCCCCACGAGTATCGAGACACTGCGCGCGATACGCCGTATTCTTTTACCACGAAGTGAAGATCACATCCAGGTTGTGCGGGAGGAGATGCTGGAGTACAAGCAGCAGAAGGAATCTAAACATGTACACCCCGAGTGAGGCATCCTTCTTTTTTTCTTGCTTCTTCACGTATTGTCTCTGGCCTCCTTTTTTTCCTTGTGAAAAAGGGACACACAAAACGCGCTCGTATTTGCTTAAGCCACGAATCTTGGCTCTTTTCTCCAGAATCATTGTGGAGTGTGGTTCTTCTCTGTGTTTCTTTTTTATTGCTTCTCCTTTGTTGCTTTTATTCTTCAAGACGCCTTCGGAGCAGGAACAGCAACCGGATCGATAATATGGGTATCCCCCATTGAGGACGATGAGGATGAGGCGGTGAGTAGTGGTGTGGGCTCTGCCGGGCGAAGTGAGGCTGGAAGAGATAACCGCGAGCTGCAGGAGGTCATGCGGGGCGCCCCACTCCTCGTCGAGTCCCGACGCCTCATTCTGCGGGATGTGATGGACCGTCTCGGTGAGTTAAAAGACGAGCAGTCCATGACAATGGGCAACATCATGGCCTCACTGAAGGAAGAAATGCGAAAGGAGATGTGCCGAAATCTTAATGGCGCGGCTGACGGGAGAGTGGGACCTGAAGGCGGCAGTAGAGGCGAGGCGGTGCGCCGATTGAAGGGATTTGACCAAAATTACGTGCAGCGCGGTGAGGTGGTAGCGACGCTGCAGGAAAAGGCGGATCGTGCCACGGTGGCGCAGAAGGCCGACGAGGTGTATGTGCACGACCTGGAGAAGCGACTATTGGAACGCATAGAGGATTTGGAGGAGCGCATGACGATCTACGAGGCGGAGCGCACGGAGTTTCGTCGCATTCTGCGCTCCCTGGTGGATGTGCACCGCCGCGGCGAAGATGTACACAACAGCGACAGTCACCGTGACAGGGACGCTGCCAACAACGGCCGCGATGACGGCGCCACTCGGAGAGCGAGGGCACTGCCTAACTTTGTGGTGCTTGACGAGGCCATTGAGCCACAGCGTGCGCGGGAGTGCGAATCTTTGGCTGCCGAAGAACCCCGTGCACCGAGACGCGCTAGGCAGAGAAACAACCTGATGACTTCCCGGGCATCGGCGAGAGAACAGGAAAAAAATCAATCTCCGTGCGGCGTGGCGGAAAGAAAAGTGGAAATGGGAGGAAAAGCTGTTGGTCTGACGGCGAATCAAGAGGCTTACGCGAACTACGTGACGAATGAGCTAAATCGCCGCGTTGTGGAGAGCCTCCCACCGCTACCTTACGAGCGTGGGCGTTGAGAGTAGGCACTGCTTTGCGCCCTTTATTTTGCCTCTATTTTATGTACAATTTTGAACTGTTGGGAGGTCCTGCCCATTTCTTGCTTTGTTGCCATTGCTTTTTTTTTTTTTTTTTTTTTTGGGTGACTGTGTTCTGAGAGGTTTTTGTTTTGTATTTATTTTCATTTTTGCTCTTCTTTGATCTTTTCCTCAGTGGCTCTGTTTTTAGGGAACGCTCCCTCACAATTTGCAACCAATCTTTTTTTTTTGCTTTGAAAGATGTTTTTTGCGTTATTTCTTTTGTTGCTGTGCGGCCCCGTGTCACGCGCCGCGGGCCAGGTGGATGTGCATGTGGCTAACCTTACCGTTATGGCCACCGGGTGGCCACAGACCACCGCTGAGTTGTCGCCATTTACGGCGGCTGTCACTTCCGTTGTGTGTGGCCCACTGGACACCACCGCCTCCACTGGCACGGCAATTCCGTGTGGTGGCTTTCTGGCACCGGTTTCAGAAGGCCATCTTTCCGTGCAGATGTATGCCGAGACTGTTTCTCTGGGAGACGCGCTTCGGGTGCGTCGTGCCTTTGGGGGCTGGGTGGAAGATGATGCTTCCGCCATGCTGGAGGCTCTTACGGTGGCCGTCTCAGCAGTTGCACTGAAACCCTTGTCGTCGCTGTTGAAAGTTACAGGGGTTTACACGGTGCCGTGCCGCAGCAATGATATCTCTGAGGTCCTCCCAGTGTGTGCCTCCACACGCAACTGCCTGACGTCCATTATTGTAGATGATTTTGGCGGGAGTGTGAGCAATGTTTTTTGCAGCTATGTCCCCACCCCATGCGAATTCTACATAACGGCCGAAGCAATCTCCTCAAACCAGGTAATGGTGAATATTAGCAGTCTTCCGAATACTCTCGAGCTGGCCCTTTTTTTCACAGATCAGGTGCGCCGCTCTGCTCTGCATGCCAGTCGTATTCAGCTCTACTCGGATGGTCAATTTGTACAGCTTTACGCTTCTAACGAAAAGATGGCGTACGAAAAGGATATCAAGGCGGTACCGGTCTGCGCTGTCGAGACTGCGCTGTGGATGCTGTCCTTTATTGCCATTATTCCTATACTGTTTCTCCTATTCAGTTATCTTTGGTGCATGGGCCGCCATCACGCGAAGAAGGTGGAGCGAAGGGCCATCGTTGAGGATGAGTTGCGAGCTCAGGAAATGGCGGAATCTCAAGGAGCGACGGCTGGTCAGCTCCGTGCACAGCAATTAATGGCTCACAATACCGGATACCCTCAAGAAAATGCCACGAGTCAGACGCCGCCACATGAACAGCAGGAGGGAATGCAGGGTGAATACGGCCAGTTTTCCACGGCAGAGAACTTTGAGTATCCGCAGGAGTACGCTGCTGACCAGCGGCAAGAAGGAGAAGGGCTATATGACGGTTATTATCATCAGGTGTACAATGGAGAGGATGACGCCGCAGTTGTTGACGAGTACGTGGAACCCAGTCTTGTAGGTGCTGAGAACGACGAGGGGATGCAGGCTGATGAAAATCCGAGCCATGGTGGTCACGCTGCTCACTTTTGAAGAGAAATTCAGGGGAGTAGAGAAGGAGGGGCAGGAAGTGATTTAGTTGGGGAACGTCATTGTTGCTTGACTGCGCTTTTATCCACGCTGCCTCCGCATGTTGAGTCCACTCCTTTTGTTGCTTTGTTAGACGATTGTCACGAGGGGCGTGTGTGGCGGTGCGCTGTCAGGCCCTTTCCGTTAATCTGCCGGCTCATCGATGCCGCCTTTCTTTTGTTGTTTTTTGCTGTTTCTTTTCATCCCCTGATCTGCTGTTTTGTGTTCCGTTTCTTTGCACTTCACAAGGCACGCAACTGGAGTAGAAGTAAATAATAAAAAAGACACCAACAACACAACGAAGCAGTGATTTCAAACAAAAATTCTCTCACAAGGTACAATAATGTCAGACGGGCAGCCAGAATGGACCAACGCGGCGGCGACAGCGCTGCAAGATGCAGTGGCTCTCGCGCGCAAGCACAGTAATGGCTTTTTGGACCCCGTCCATCTGGCGTGCGCGCTGTTCAAGGATGAGAACGGTCTCCCCTCGCGTGTGCTGAAGAAAGTTGGAGCGGGAATCGTGATGGACGCCCTAATGGCCCGCGTGGAGGCAATTCCCACACAAAGCCCTGCACCGACGCAGCCGCATCCTAACTCCGACATGACGCGTGTACTAAACACCGCGGAGCAGAAGCGGGTTGCGTTTGGCGATACCCTTTTGGCCGTCGACCACCTTCTCCTTGCGCTGTACGAGAGCAAGGACACCAATTCCATCCTGAAGGCGGCTGGTGCCGACAGTAAGATCGTTGAGAAGGCCCTGAAGGAGCTTCGCAAGGGGAAGAAAATTACCTCAGAGTTCCAGGATCAGAACTACGATGCATTGTCCAAGTACGCGATCGACATGTGTCGACAGGCGGGAGGATGGCAAGCTGGACCCACTTATTGGACGTGCCGACGAGGTATTACGC